AGAGAGAGAGAGAGAGAGAGAGAGAGAGAGAGAGAGAAGAGGCAGCGGGCTGGCTGGAGCCTGATTCTGGAGCTGGAATGCCCTTATTCCTACTAAGGTTGCCGTGGGCTTATGTCCCCTGCAGGCACTGGTCTGAGCGGCCTTGGCTCCAAGGCAGCCTCAGGAGCCAATGTTCCACTGGGAAAGGCCAGTGCCCATTTCCCTGGCCACCTGGAATTCACTGGGGGAAACACTTGGCAGCTCATTACGTGGGTGAAATTTCCAGACAAGTACATATCTTTTAAAAGTTAAATTATCCACCCTCTATTTTGGAACAATCAACACCTATTCAGGGCCAGGAACTAAGTTCCCAGCAGCTCATGCATGTGTGCGCAGGTGTGTGCTGTGCACGCAGTGTGCACACATGTGCTGTGTGCATGTATGTGCTGTCTGTGCATGTGCATACATGAATGAGTGTGTGTGTGTGTACACACATGCACACACATGGGCATCCTGCTTGTTTTTTGCTTTTGAACAATAGGTAGGCGATGCTATGCCAACCACTGTCTGCTCTGCTTGGCATCACTCCAGATCCTCAGCCAAACTGGGGTCAGCAGGGGTCATGGGCGGGCCCTTCTAGCCTCAGTTGGCACTGAAGAGCTGGGTTAACTTTTAAGAACTTTCTGCTCATAGCAAAATGTTTCTGAGGAAAAACAACAGACGGAGAATGATCCATACCCAGGCCACATTCCGATGATAATAGCCCCTGAGTCATCCACTCAAAAATAATGGGCTATCATTTGCAAGCTGTTTTACATACATTCTGCATGCTCTTGATGGACAGTCGAGATGCCCAGAAAATCCATCAGCCCTGGCCTCTCCCTGCTGTTCCTTGGCCCTGATTTGTGGACAAAGGATTGAGAAAGGAGGAAGAGCAGAATCTAGCAATGCTCCTGGAGCTACAGAAGCCATATACATAGAGTTGGCCAAAGCCTGGGGCTGCTCATGCCTATGACTTTGTGTAGTCAGGCACAAGAGTCCTGCTGCTTTAGGGAAACACCCTAAACAAGGGTCAGGAGGAGAAGCAGGGTGTCAGGAACACACATATTCTAGGTGGTGAAAGGGACAGTTCCTAGCAGTCCCTACCCAAACACTGTCTCCTGCCTGGTCCCCCCTGCACTGTGACCAGCTTCCTGCCAGGGCGGGTATTGGTGCTCATGCATTGGAAGGGGGAGACCAGGTAGGTTTAGTTTTGGGCTGCACAAGAAGCAGCTTCAGCAACCGGTGGAGGAGTGGAGGGGCGGGATGAGGGCAGCAATGCCGGGAGGCTGCTCCTCATGCCCTTGGTGTATATCCAGTTAATGAGGGGAATCAAGGCCAGGGCCACAGAGCAGAATACAGCTGCCAGGACTGGGAGCAAGCTGGGCTATCTGGAGCCAGAGGAGGACGCTGTGTGGAGCTGTCCCTGATCCCATGCTCTAGTGGGCAGCAGAATAAAGCAGAAGCAGGAAGAGGCTGGGGTGGTCATACTGTGGGCTGCCTCTTGGTGGCCTCTGCACTGGGCTTTTAGAACTGCGACCCTTCAGCTTTGCCCATCGGTCTGTCTGGAAAGCATTTCACTTTGATGAGAAGCTACTGCCCGTGGAAGAGGTAGGAAGAGCTATGGAATCAGGAGGGCAGAAGGCTGCTGATGGGGGCCGGAGGAGATGTGAGAGCCCAGCTCAGGGCCCAGGGCTGTCTGTTCCCTCAGGCCCCAGTCAGGTCTTGAGCAGAGGCCCTGTAGGGTCCCTGCTGGTCTGGGCTCTAAGCCTCTGCAGGCTGGGCAGGTGTCGGCCCCGTGGCCATGGCACAGCAGGCCAGGGCTGCAGCCAGCCCGGCTGCTGGGAACTTGGCTTAACATGGGCCAGAGGGGGCACAAGGGAGGGTGAGCAGAGAGCCAAAAATGATTTCACAAACAAAAGCTGACTTTTGGAAACCCGAGGCAGGAGAGTAGATGATGTGATTACAGCCAGTCTGGAAAATCGAAGCCAGAAGGCCTGGCTGAAGAGGGCTAAACTTTTGCATAATTGGGCATGAAGGCTTTCTGCCAAGCCAGGAAGTGCTTTCCATAGCACTGGGGGAGAGGAGACGGGGCAGATGCACCCCTGCTCTGAGGATCTCTGTGCACCCTGCAGCCCTAATGGCCCCATCAAGATATGAGAATGTCAGGTTCGAGGGGCTGGCCACAGGTCACTGTGCACCAGGAGAGCCTGGGAGATAGCTTCATCCTGCTCTCGCCCAGCATGACATTGTCAGCATCAAAGGGATGGTGGCCACTTCGGTGCCTGGACACACAGGGAGTTCAGGCAGTGACCAGTGTCTAAGTGTCCCCATGGAAACAATACCTCCCCGGAGCCACTTAGAGTTTGGAAGAAGAGGCAGAGGGGGAAGCATATTTGTGACTATCCTTGACACACAAGATACATGGGCACCCCAGGAGCCCTGCCTATTTATTCTCACGAAAAAAGGCACCTACTTGCCCGCAGCGTAGACCTCTGCCGTATCGAAGAGGTTGATGCCATTGTCGTAGGCCAAGGTCATCAGCTGCTCTGCCATCTGAAACGAGAAAACCAATGCTGCTCTTGGGCACTACCAGGCCTTGCCAGCAGGGTCCTGGACAGCTCCTCTGCTTCCTCCCTCTTCTTCTTTCCTCTCCCTCTCCCCTGGCCCTGGGCAGGGAAAGAGGCTGCCCAGCTCTGTCCAACACAAATTCAGGGGGCACTGTCAGCTGCCCTCAGTAACAATGCAGAGGAGAACAAAGAAGACAAGATGGGTGAAAAGAGAGCCTGTGGCTTGTGGATTTCTGAGAATGTGGACCACCTGTTGGGATCATCTCAGAGCACCATGGATCCCGGTGGAACGTGTCCTGGGACGCTGCCTCCCGTGGAGTTCTCCCCAGCACCCGCGGGGGACAGGATCATTATTTTTTGCCGATGGGGAGACTGAGGTCCTGTGGCTCATAAATGGGGAGGCTGACATCTGTGCTCTGGTTTTGACTGATATTTCCTTGGCACCACATGCTTCCCACCCTAAATGACATGGTGTGACGTGGTGGTGGCTCCCAGACAGGACCTGATGAATGGTCACTGAGCCCAAGCATGATGCTGCTGACCAGATTTTCCTCCCTATTGTTTTTGTTAGTTGTCATCAAATTGGTTACAACTCATGGTGACCTTATGTATAATAGAACAACATGTTGCCTGGTCCTCTGCTATCTTCATGGTCATTGGTATGTTTGAGACCATCATTGTGACTATCATGTCAATTCATCTCATGGAGGGATTCCTTTGTTTTCACTGACCCTCTGCTTTACCAACCAAGGCGTCCCTTTCTAGCAGCTCATGGCATGTCCAAAGTTGTTGTTGATAGGTGTTACTGAGTCGGCTCTGACTCATAACGATACCATGTACAACAGAAGGAAACACTGCCCGGTCCTGAACCATCCTCACAATCCTTGCTGTGCTTGAACCCATCGCTGTAGTCACTTCATCAATCCATCTTGTTGAGGGTCCTCCCCATTTTTTATGACCCTCTACTTTACCAAGCATGATATCCTTCTCCAGGGAATGGTCCCTCCTGACAACATGACCAAAGTAGATGAGATGAAGTCTTGCCACTCTTGCTTCCAAAGAGCATTCTGGCTGCATTTCTTCTAGGACAGATTTGTTCTTTTGGCAGTCCATGGTATTTTCAGTATTCTTCACCAACAAAGTAAGTGAGCCAAAGCCTTGCCATCTTTGCCTCTAAGGATCATTCTGGCTGTATGTTTTCTAAGGTCCTTATTCCACTATGTCCACCCTGGAAGGTTTCCTCCTCCCTCATTGACGAGGTCTAGAATCTGGACTACTGTGACCATGGGCCAGCCCCTTGTGGATGAGGGAAGCTGGACGAATACGTGAAATCTGCCCTCCCCTCCCTGCAGCAGCCACTGGAGATGATTCACCAGGCAGAGTGCTCTGCAGGAGCTGACATGGTCACGGTCGCCAAGGCTGATCCCACCTGTATGCTACTCATTCCACCTGCTGCTTAGCAAAGAGGAAAACAAATATGAGACTAATGACACCCTGGACAGCACCTTGGATGACTGCAGGCAAGAAAGAACTAGGGAATCAGGGCTGTGCTGTACTGTTTTTTAACTGCTGGGATTCTGGTGTAATTCCTCTTTCAGGGTTTTCTACGTGGATCAATTGCAACGCCAATGTACAAACCACTATATTCATAGCGTTCACCTTGACACTCTTCTGGGTCTTTCCCACGCCTGTCATTCTTCAAAACATGACTTCTAAAGATTTCTACCCTGTGGGTGTATCTACCTATTTCATGGACCCTCTGCTTTGTGACTTCGAGGTTATCTCCAACGTCAGAGTCCCAGCAACTTTACTCAGAGGGAACCTCAGGAGATGAGTAGGCTACCTCCCTGTCCCCTGCCTGAGGGATAAGGAGTCCATTCCTGACCCTGTGCAGCTCTCTGACCCAGGAGCTGGCCACTGGCTTGGAGCTGAAGACCCCTGGGTGACAATCCTTCTCCTCACTCACAGGTGTACCCTTGGTGCCTGTCATGTCCCGGAGGCTCAGGCTCAGTGTCCTTGAAATGGAACATAACATCTACCTCCTTGTGCTCTTGGAGGACAGGTGAGATGAGCCGTGCCATGTTCAAGGTCATGACTCTTAGCTATCATGTGTGTACTACCTGGTCTTTTCTTGAACATATGCTCTGATGGGGTGGAGGAGTAGTATGAGTTCATAGAAAGGACACTGAGCTGGGGGACAGAAACCCGATTCTACACACAGCAGCCCCGATGCTGGTGTCAGGTTGACTGGCACTGTTGGCTCCTCTGTGGGTTTGCTGTGAGAACCAGCTGACTCATGTACATGATGGGGTCTTGTAAACTATGAGCTCTGGGCATGGTAACACGTGCAGGCAGGGCTGATACTCCCACTGCACTCTGAGGCAGGCCTGAGTTTTGCCTCTGGTGTAGCACAGAACAGGTCTAAACTTTTGTCTGCATGCCAGCCACACAGCTGTTGAGTTCCCAGACAATGGGGATCAGCAAGTTTTCCTGTAAAGGGCCAAAGAATGAATATTTTAGGCTTTGTGGGCCAGACAGTCTCTGTTGCAGCTATTCAACCCTGCCGTCATAGTGCAAAGCAGCTGTAGACAATATGTAAACAAGTGGATGTGGCTGTGTGCCAATAAAACTTTATGTACAAAAATAGGCTGGACGCTGGATTTGGCCCACAGACTACTGCTTGCCAACCTTACCTTAGAATAGTGCTTTGCCAGTATAAACCTGCCAGTCCCTTATTTCTGAATCCCCTGGCATCCAGGCAGCATGTGTCACTGCAGTATCTTAAAAACAAGACTCTTCAACCGTAAAGGAAAACAATGTTCTGATACAAGTTATAGCATGGATAGACCTTGAAAACATCATGCTAAGTGAAATCAGTCTTTGCAAAAGGACAAACACTATATGATCTCACTTACATGAAATAAGCAGATGTATAGAAACCAGAGATTATTCATCGTTACCAGGGGTGGGAGAGAGGGATTATTTTTGCTTCAGGGGCATTGAGTTTATGTTAACAGTGGTAGAGTGATTTGGAAAAGGATAAGAATAATGATTGCACAACAAGAAGAATGGAATCAATGTCACTGAATTATACATGGAGAAATTGTCAGATTGGCAAATGTTTTGTTGTGTATCTTTTCACCATGATAAAAAAAAAATGCAAAAAACCCAAAAATAACAACAAAAAAAACAAAACTGTTTCTAGATTCCTTGGCATGCCAGGAGCCCTCCTTTGGCCTGGGGCTGAACAAGGCTCATGGTATTCCAGGTGGGCTGCCCACTTGGAATGCTTCGTGCACCCATGGCTCCCAGGGTTTGGGCTGCGTGTGGGTTCCCTGCAGCCCCAGATGGTTATCTCACACACTGGCTTGGACTGAGCTGGCAGCCAATGCAAGGATCAAACCCTAGTTATTCATCTAAGCTGTGGGGAGGTGGGCCCCTCATACTTGAGGTATTGATTAGTTTTGACACTAAATGGAGGATTTAATACTTGAATCCTGTCTCACTCCTGTGCTCCATCATTTCTTTCTGCTAGCTTTCAGGGAGCTCTGGTAGCATAGTGCCTAAGGCACCTGACTACTAACCAGAAGTCTGGAGGTTCAAACCCACCAGCCACTCCTCGGAAGGAAGATGGGGCAATCTACTTCTGTAGTAATACTGCCTTGGAAACCCAGGGAGGGGTCGCTATGAGTCGGGTTCGACTCAACGGCACATAACAACAACAACAACAGGACCTTTCAGGACTTGACTCTGTCATCTATTGAATACGCTTGTCTTTCAGCTTTGTGAATGTCTTCATACATGTCACCATGTTCCTGATGGGGACACGGCAGAGGCCAGGGTCAGCCATCGGATCAATCACCAGTCCTCTTAGGGTGCAAATGATCTGTTGGTAAGAGATTTATCTAAATGGACAGATGTGCACCCTCCTCTCTGTCTCTCCTGCAAGGACGTCACAGCAGTGTAGTAAATGTTGCTTGGAAATGAAGTTACACCCCCTACAGAATTCTTCTATCTGCTGCTTTAGTGACTACTTTGAAAGAGAAACCAGCTGTGTCAGGCCTGACTTTGGAGCAAACTTGTGGGCTCCAGGCTCTGGCTCTATACTCTAGGTGCTTGGAATGGATCTCATGCCTTGGGATAGAACTTTCCCTGTGGATGATGACTCGTCACTTAAGAACTCTTGACTTTACCCAGAGATGGCACATACCCAGCAGCCTCAAAGCCAGAGTCAAGTAGTCCTCTAAGTAGTTACTTACATAAAAATGAATGAGAACACAACTGAAATGCATTTAAATTTTGATGGAAGCAAAGCTCTTCCTTTGAAAGCTAACAGAGCAATCACAGCTAACAAGATCTTGGATCAATGCACTGATTAATTTTTAAATGCAACCTTTCCATTGGTAAGTAGAGCACAAGCACACATAGCTATTTATGTAGGACGTCCAGGGTTCTTTAAGCAACTGCCACTGTTCTCATTTCCAAGATATGCACCCCTGTTCCAGAAGTGCAACCAGCCTGGGACAGCATCTCCCCTCTCCTTCAGAGAGACCCAGGGTGCCGGCAGTGCCTTGGTGTCCACCTTCCTATCAAATTATGAAGAGACAAGCCCCACAAGGGCACTCAAGTGCAACACCCATGGATAACCGCAGTCATGGATGGGCGGTGTAAAATGCATGGCTATTCAGCCTCTTCTGATGGCAGAAGCAATGACAGAATCTGTATTTGAAATGACCTCCACAAATATGGGAATCCCTGGGTGGTGCAAACCGTGAATGTGTCTGGCCGCTAACTGAAAGGCTGAAGGTTCAAATCCACCCAGAGGCACCTGGAAGAAAGGCCTGCTGATCTACTTCTCAGAAACCAACCACTGAAAACCCCGTGGAGCACAGTTCTGCTCTGACACACATGGAGTCAGAATCAACTTGATGACAACTGTTTTTGTTCAACAAATACGTATGGGATTGGAGTTTAAATTCAAGAGTGCACACAAACTTATACTTGCTCCATTAAAAACCAAAACCAAACTCACTGCCATAGAGTCAGATCCGACTCATAACGACTCCTCCTTGGGTTTCTGAGGTGGTATCACTACACAAGTAGATAGCCCAATATTTCGTCTGAGGAGTGGCTGGTGGGTTTGAACAGCCAGCCTTTTGGTTAGCAGTCAAATGCCTTAGGCACTATGTTACCAGAGCTCTCATACTTGCTCCAGGCTTTAGAATTTGGAAAACATGTGCACTCACTGAATCCCCATGGTTAACTGTGAAGTAGATGTCACACAGATGAGGAACCTGAGTTTCTGGGACTGAGGTATGTGCCTGGTAAGGCCTGAGGTATGTGGCTGGTAAGGGGAGCTACACTTGGCATTTTTATTGGCCACATCATGGGCTCACTTTGCTTTCCCACAGGAGCTGGGCACCCAAATAAAGAAGAAAAAAAGGAGCCATGGCAGTTCCCAGGGCTCAGGCACATTGATTCATGCAAATGACTTGACCATATGTGGAGGTGGACAGCCCGCCACAGGGCTGGGGCTCGCCCTCCTTGGTGCCAAAGTGGGGGCCCATCTTACCTCATCGGTGATCTGGCCCCCAAAGGTCACCCATGTTCCTGGAAGAGACACAGAGGCCCCAGTTAGAGAACTTCCCCATGGGGCTGGGACTCACCCCTGTGGTGCTGCAGGGCCCAGGAGGCGCGGCCACAGCACCATGTTTTCCTGACTCTGCACTGCATTCAGCCTGGCCTCGAGGTAAATCCTACTGTCCTGGAATACACAGCCAAGGTGCAAAATACCTCCAGAGGAAGCAGCCAGGTACAGGCCCTGGGAGGCTGGGCTGACATGGCTTCCATAGAGGGCTATGCAGCAGGGAGCTCTCAGATGTGGCTGGGCAGGGAGAGGTGTGTTCAGGTGGTGGGTGCTGTGTGTGCGTGCAGGAGGAAGGAAAGCATGCTCTGGGAGCAGAATGCATCTCTGGCAGACATGAAAAGGGGGCAAAGGTGCCTGCCCTTCGTGAGGGCCTTCTTCTGTGAAGTCCACCCTGCTGTACGAAAGCCTGAGAGGAGGATGGTCCTTGGACTCTGGGGCGGAAGAGGGGATAGTATGTACAAAGGGCCCCTTGCACTTGGCAGTCTTCAGCTGTATCTTCCATCTGCTGCTTTTAGTAACCACATTGCTGAGGCTGCATCTGTCCCCCTCCCTCTCACAGGCCTCCCTTTACTTTAGTTGCCTTGGCAACTAAGCCACTCTAAATCCTGGGTTTTGGGTGCTGTGGCCACCCTGCCTCCAGGGGATGGGCAGTTCCCTCCGGCCATCCTGCTGTCCCTGTTTCCTGAGTGGGTGTGTGTCCCAGGCGCAGCCCCACACTCACCGAGCCCCAGGCAGGAGACGCGCAGGCCAGACTTGCCCAGATTCCTGAAAAACAAATGCTGTCTGAGCTCCCAGCAGGTGGAGTGAGGCTTGCAGCCCCTGTCCTGGTCCCCGGAGGGCTCTTGAGGGGACCTGCACCCTTCCTGGTAAATGAGGCCAGAGGGATCTGCGCAGGGAAAGGTACAGTGCTGGGCCACCCTCCCCCCCCCCCATACACTCTAGCTGTGTGTGGGCCTGGCTGTGCTGATGACCAAGGAAAGACAGTGGCGACATCTTCAAGTGGTGCTGTCTTGTTTAATGGGCTAAACCATGGTTAGTCTAAGCCTATGGTGCTGAACATGGGCCTCCTCCTGCTAAGAAGCTCTTTTCTTTCTTTTTATTTAAAGTGCCACATTTGAGATTTTGTGATCTTTACTCTCAGTCTTTGCAGAAAGGGCTAGAAGGAGTGTGGCCCACAGGCCTCTCTCTGCCTCCCCAATGTGGGGGATGACAACACTGTCATAGAGTGTAGTTTGCATGTTGGCTGAAGGCCCACCTGTGTTGTGATCCAAGTGGGCCAAGGTCCAGAGACCCCAGTGAGCATCCCGTCAGTGCCCAAATGACATGTCCTCATTAGCACAGCAGCTGTGCCCTCTGCCCATATCCCCATCATGGCTCATGGAGACCTCTGTGCCCCTTGAGGGCCTGCACATGGGTACACCCCGATTCCACACTAATGGGCTATGGGGTCTGTGCCCTCGCTGTGGGTTGCCATAAATACTCTGCTGAGGATGGGTCCTTCCTGGCATAGGCTGTTGGACCTTGGGGGCAGTGGCAGGCTGGGCCTGTTGTGCTGAGTTCAGGACATACCCCTGGCACCTCTCAATTGTCTCGCCATCTACTACCCCACTGTTCCATGAGGTGGTGCCTCCTATCCTGACCTCAAGATTCCCACTTTACAGGCAAGCTCACTGAGACCTGTCTGGGCAACACTCTGGGCTCCTGATCTTTGCTACAGAGGGAGGCACAGGGCCAGGTCTACCCGGAGGGGGGTGGGGGGGGCAGCAGGGTTCCTGCTGCAGCTGAGCCCAGTTCACCTTGATCAGCCTCCCCTTGCTCTCAGGTCTTCTTGCTCTAGGTCAAGGGGCCTGTGCTCTTGGGGCCATTCCTGGGCTGACATTCTTCCAGGAGGTGGGGAGTCAGAGAGCAAAGCAGACTAGATGGGTGAGCTCCACTCCTTCCCCATGGCCCCTGGTTTTCCTGGGGCCATTATACTTTGGACTTTGGCTGTGTCTCTGATATCAGTTTTGTCCCCTTCTCTACCCAAGGGTGGCCTCCTGGAAGGGCAGCATGCGGCTCAAGCTGAGTCTGCCCCATCCCTCTCTGACCCTCCTCAGCCTTGATTTCCCTGGTTACAAGATCCCACCTAGATTATTAGCAGTTGGAGATGGTGATAGCCTAGTTACATCACTTCCTTCTGAGCACTGTTAGGAGTAGTAGCCAGGCCTGTGTTGTTGTTGGGTGCCGTCAAGTCAATCAGTTCTGACTTAAAGACTCCATATGATAGAGTAGCACCTCCCCACAGAGTTCTCTTGGCTGTGATCTTTACAGAAGCAGATTGCCAGGTCTTTCTCCTGTAGGAAGGAGTCCTGGTGGTATAATGGTTAAGTGCTTGGCTGCCAACCAAAAGGTTGACAGTTCAAACCCACCCAGTAGTTCTGCAGGAGAAAACTTAGTGGTCTGCTTCTGTAAAGACCACAGCCTAGAAAACTCTATGGGGCTGTTCTACTTTGTCACATGGGTTTGCTATGAGTCAAAACAGACTCAACAGCAACTAACAACAACAACAACAACAACGGGGGTGGGGGTAGGGTAGGGTAGGGTAGGGGGAGATATAATGATACCTGTAAGAATATGAAAAATGTTTAACATGCAACTCAAATTTAAATGATCTCTAAATTGTTCAGCTTCCTTTATAAAATGTCCAATTAAACCAGTCTGGCTACCAGTCTATTGGTTCCTATAGGGATGCTGGCATTTTTCCTAAATGAGAACCTAATAGCTGCTAGTTTCTCCTTCAGGAAGGTGAACTGGTTCAGCCAGAGGCTACTGGGGAGGCTCTGAAGCTGGAGCATGAAACGAGGGAATGCATGAAAATCAGTCAGAGAGCAGGGTCTGGGCACAGGGTCCTCCTACACTCTGACCCTACACAAAGGTCATTTCCCAAAGGGGCAGGGTACCCAAGACACACAGCATAGAACATGGAGGGTGTGCCTTTTGTCTTATGTGCAAAACAACAATGGACCAATCAGGCTTTAAATATACAGTGTTGTTATGGATTGAATGGTGTCCCCCAAAACTTACATTGAAGTCCTAACCCCTAGACCTGTGAACATGACCTTGCTTGGAAATAGGGTCTCTGAAAATGTTATCAGTTAAATGACCATGAGGTCATACTGGAGTAGGGCAGACTCTAGTTCATTCTGAACAGCACCCTTTTAAAATAGGAGTAAAACAGAGACACCGAGGGACATGGCCACGTGACTCTGGAGTGATGCTGCAGCTGCAAGCCAAGGAACGCCTGAAGAGACAGGAAGGATCTTCCCCTTAGGGCCTTCAGAGAGCATGGCCCTGCCAACACCATGAATTCAGACTTCTAGCCTCCAGAACTGGGTGATGATAAATTTCTGTTCTTTAAAGCCACCCAATTTGTGGAACTGTTATAGCAGCCACAGGAAAAATACACAAATCAGAAAGGGAAATGAAGTTTTCCCCTCTATAAATCCGTGGAATAATCCAATAGCACCCTCATTCTTGTTTGCATGTTCCCAGCCAGAGTAACCTGTGTTTGCAACTACTGCTGGAGAGGCCCAGCTGTTATCACTTAGAAATTCTGCATGCAGACACGGTCCAGTTAGCAGTTTAGGTCAGTTTTCCTACGTGAGCTAGAAAGTAACTGTGGTGAGAAATTATGAAATAACTTACAAGCAGTCTGATAACAAAGCACAAAGGATGAAAGTTCTGACCAGTGGTTCTGAAAAGTTTTGGGGTCATAGATGCCTTTGAGAAACTGATGAACACTCAACAAGAGAAGAATAGAAGGGAAATTCATCAGTATAATAAAAGGCATTTATGAAAACCCATAGCTAACATCACAGGCCATAAAGACTGAGGACTTTCTCATTAAGATCAGGAACAAGACAGGGAAATCCACTCTCACCACTGCTATTCCACATCATTCTGGAAGTCCAAGCTAGAGCAATTAGGCAAGAATGAATGAATGAATGAACGAACGAATAAATAGTATCCAAATAGGGAAGGAGGAAGTAAAATTATCCCGTTTTGCAGATGACATGATCTTATACGTAGAAAACCTCAAGGATCCTACAAGAAAGCTATTAGAACTAATAAATGAATTCATCAAAGTGGCAAGGTACAAGGTCAACACACAAAATCAGTCGGGTTTCTATATATCAGCAATAAGCAAGCTGAAAAAGAACTTAACTGATGAAGGATCCAGACACTTTCTCTGGAAATGCTTAAGGATGTACATACTCTCAGAAGCTTGTTTGCAATGTTCAAGTGTTCCCAGAGTCTTGGGGCCCCTGGACACCTGGTCTAGATAAATTTGGGCACCCAGAAGGGAGGCTGAGACATTGTCTCTGTATAAGTGACCTGGGGAGAAGCTCTCTGACCATGCTCTGTCGGAGGCCAGGTTTTAGGGGTCTCCTGAAAATAAATTTGCATTGGGCATATCTACTGTGAAAGATGTCTTTAAAGTTTTATAAAGCAAAGATGTCACTTTCATGTGTACCTGACCTAAGCCATGGTCTTTTCAATTGCCTCACATGCATGTGAAAGCTGGATAATACAAAAGGAGGACCCAAGAGGAATCGGTGCACTTGAATGGCAGTGTTGGTGGAGAACACTGGTTACACTGGGAGGCCAGAAGAATGAACCAAGGCATGCAACCAGAATACTCCCTAGGAGTGAGGGTGGTGAGACTTCAGCTTGCTTACTTTGGACATGTCGGCAGGAAAGGCCAATTGCTGGAAAAGTGTATCATGGTTGGTAAAGTACAGGGTCTCTGAAACCGAAGTTAATCATCCATGAGATCAACTGATACAACAGCCATAACAATGAGCTCAAACATACCAACAGTCATGAGGCTGGCACAGCACCAGGCAATGTTTCGCTCTGTTGTACGTAAGGTGGCCGTGAGTCAGAGCTGACTTGATGGCAACCAACGGCAACAACAACCTGAAGACTTCTCTTTAATGAGGGTAGAACCAAAAGCTGAACATGCTGCAAGTTCAGGGGAATAGATTGGCTTTTGCAGCAGAGAGGCAGGTGAGGCCAAGAAATAAGAGGCTGTGCCCACCCGTGTCTGTGGCTGGAGAGCAGCGACATGCAGTCTGGGGGAGAAATGATGAAACGCTGTTCTTGCTCTCTGATTCTTGTCTATTCCCAGTTTGATTGGCATGAAATGGACCTGCTTCTCTGATGGGTGCTGAGTCTCCTCCCTGAGCCAGGGTCGGACCCCGGCCTCTGGCTCTCCAGCTGCTGCTCCACCCACTGCCCACAGGAATAATTGAACAAAACTAGGACAGCGCGTGATGCTGCAATTACCCTGCTCAAGTTGCTTCCCTGCTAGAATGATGGTATTAGATCTGCCATGAGCTGCCAGGAGCAGAAGAAGGAATGAGAAGGGACAGGGTATCTCCAGGCAGAACTCTTTATAAATACGGCTTCTCGATGGGGGTGGGATGCTCCACAAATCACAGCCTCATAGGGATAGAGGTGGTGACTTGCTGCTACTGGAAACTTTCTAAATACCAAAATAGTTTCCTACAGCTCCTTCCCTCCCCCAATTAAAACTTGCCATAGTGATAAAATAGTTGGTCAAAAATTCCTAAACCCAAATAACATTGGTCTTCATTAATTTGCCTCAAATCTCTCCAGTGGTCCAGAAAAATGGCTAATGAAGCATTGTTGACATAATCATGGTCAGAGAAAAGCATTGGTCTCCATCTTACACCCACTGAACACTTTATACTGCTAAATAC